AGGTTCGATTTCGGTCAAGGACATGTTCCTTGGTTGTGGGCACATCCCCAGTAGGGGGTGTGCAGGAGGCAGCTGATCGATGTTTCTAACTCTCTATCCCTCTCCCTTTCTCTCTGTAAAAAATAAATACAATATATTTTTAAAAAAATAAGCTATGGAGCAGATAAGAAATATTTTGAAGTCAAATCATATTTTATTTCCCATATGGAGATTAAGTGACTTGCCCAAGTAACTTGTAATAAGTAAATGGCAGAGTTAGTAACTATAAATCCAATACTGTTGCACCACATGACTGCTTTCCTTCTCTGAGGAAGGAAATGCTATTCTAACCATTATTTTGTTGTCTTCAAATGGTGTTTAGGATGTTGAAAGAAAACAAACATAGGCTCTTTAAGAAAAGCTTCTGTTGCTGCAACTGTTTCGTGTAGGCTTTAACTGTGAATGCGGACAAACAACAGGGTGAAAAGAAGTAGAGGGATGGTATGTTTTATGGGACTTCCTTAGATTGGGTTCTGGACACAAGCAGGCTCATCTGTTTGTGGGCATCAGGAAAGACCAAGGTACTTGCAACTAGTGATGACTCATTCTAAAAAATCAAATAACCAAAAAGTTTACCTGTGTAGTATTTATTATTCAAAGATCAAAAGTATTATATATTTGATTTTGTTGACTATGTATCATTCAAAGAGCATAAGTACAATGCATAAGTATTCTGAATCTAAGAAATAGGTTGGAGTTAATTTGAAACCTAAGTCTTAAGTAAGGAGATTAATACATTAGTCATTTGGTCAGGGAGATACAATATTTGAAGGTAGGTACAGTCATCCATTGGTATCCACAGATTGGTTCCAGGAATCCCCGCAGATACAAAATGAGGATGCTCAAGTGCTGTAGTTAGCTCTCCGTACCCGTGGAGATGAAACCTGTGAATGCAGAGGGCTGACTGGATTCTATTTCTTTACCTTTTTGTACTTAATATAATTCTTTACATTTACCTCATAAGTAGTTAAATAAAATATATACAACACCTATAAAATAAAAAAATAATACTAACTCAATGGTTTATGCTTTTATATCACAACTCTCAGTAATTTCACCAATCACTCCTAGGGATACCCTGGTGTTAAGACTGAGCCATCATCTGACATTCCTGTTTGGGGGACAGGCTGGCTACATCCAAAAAAATGAGAAGCGATGGCTGGTCTTGTTTTACAAATCCAACCCCATAAAGTGACATAATCTCTTTGCACGCTTCCCCATTCATCTTTGACATGCAACAAATCATGTGAATTAATGAGATGTGATAGAACAATATTAAGAAAAATATTAAGGTTTAAAAGCAAAACCACTCTATTGTTGGTGTTAACTGGAATCTGAATGCTTTATCATCTCTGGTTTGAATCATGGTCTTATTTTTCTCCTGAGTGTATGAATTTTAGTTCTGAAAATATTTTTTAAAAAGTGCCCTGGCCGGTTTTCTTAGTGGTTAGAGTATCGGCCTGCAGACAGAAGGGTGATGGGTTTGATTTCCAGTCAAGGGCATGTACCTTGGTTGCAGGTTTCCCAGCCCTGTTGGGGTGCTTGTGGGAGGCAACCAATCAATGTGTCTCTTTCACGTTGATGTTTCTCCCTCTCTCTCTCTCTTCCCCTCCTCCCTCCCTCCACTGTTTCTAGAAATCAATGGAGGAAATATCCTTGGGCTAGGATTAAAAAATATATATATTAAATTTCTTAACACAAAAATGTTTCATATAAAGAACAAAATTTTTAGAGATGTTTTTTACAACATTCTTAGAAGCAGAGTAGAAAAATACACCACCCAAAAGACAAACACTGAAAAAGATTCCACTTTTTTCTGTTGATGGAACCACATGTAAGCCTTTAGATCCTGGTCTCAAAAAGCATAAGATAAGCACTGCTATTGAGAGAATATAACTAACAAAACATCTGTATGAGAAAGCAATCCTGAGCATCTCATCTGATCACGAATCTCAGTGGGATGTCTACATAGCACCAAAACTACCAGCTAAAAAGTACACAATTTACACTACAGTTACAGACTGATAAAGAGCCTGGTCTCTACTGCCAGAAGTCACAGGTTCAAATCCTGCATCTTCCACCCACTGCCTCATCACTTAAGACTGGGAGCAGGCCTGTTTCATCAGCTGTAAAATGGGGATAATGATAATTCCTACCTCATAGAATTGCTAGAAGAGTAATCAGTACATGGAAAACATTGAAAACAGTTCCTGGATACAGCAGAGTTCAATTAGGGTCAAGCGGAAAACTGAGATGGCATCAGCATGCCTTCATTATCTTGAGAGGTCAACTCCCAGGCCACTGGTGGAAAACCAAAATGTTCCTGGCAAAGGACAGCTGTGCTGTGCTACATAACACCATAGGATCTCTGTTTTATACATTTGCTGTGGTGTTGGGCAGATCAAGCCTGCGTGAACGCACTTTCCTGGGTAAACAGAATTCTCGAGAGTTCCATAAGAGCTGGGTTATTTGTCTAGGTTGTCTTTCACTACTTCATCTTCAGTACTTATCTAGCACCTGGCACATAATCAGCTCTCAACAAATACCTGCTTTTCTAAATGAATAGCTGAAGGAAAGGATCTGGAGCTCTGCAAAAGCAACAGGCATTTGACTAAACAGATCTAGGCAAGAAAACACTTATGTCAGACCCATTAATATTACTACCCACTCAATTATTACAATGAAAAAAATATTTCCCTAATACTGGAAGTTATTTCCTAACTGCCATTTTTATCAAATAGTTAGAGGGATCAGCTTCAAATATAAATGTCAATATATTGAAAGTATCCAATAACATTCAGATCTTCCTTGAAACATTTGTGAGAACATTATATAAAAAATCATGATGGTTACTTCCATTTACAATAATTTTCAGTGAAAATACTGAAATTTAAAAATTAGCAAAAAAGTTAAATAGGAAAACAAACATGCCTTAGAGAATGGTTAAGTTCTAATTTTTCAACCTGAAAAAAGTCCAACCTGATGCCTTGCATTTCTAGCTTACAGAGAAAGAAATAAAAAATAAGAAATAAATGAGTTCTGTTGGCTAAAGAAGTACTTTGTGATCTATTAAACTATAAAGGTAAACTTTCTGAGAACTGATGGAAAATTTATAAATTTATGACAAATTTAACAATTTCCTATTAGAATGTTAGTAACATTTTGAAAGCTAAAGCCTGAAATTTTATCCTATCACCTAAATAAAACACAGTAACTAAAAATTAATTTGTTATTTGGGATACAATGAAATAGAAATAAACATTAGAACATAAATCTAATAAAATTAATTTGTTCTGTGGGATACAATGAAACAGATTCTCAGAAAAAATAAATAGCTGGAACATCATCTCTTTAAAAAATACACAGAAAATATGAAACAGCTATTATAGACTAGAGGCCTGGTGCACGAATTCATGCATGGGTGGGGTCCAGCTGGCCTGCCCCAATCGGGACCAATTGAGGGGCTGCGGGTGGTTGGCTGGCTGGCCCCACCCCTGATTGGGTAGAGGGGGCCGATCGAGGAAGGGGCTGGCTGGGGGTAGGGGCTGCAGGCGGTTGGCCGACTGGCCCTGTCCCCTGGTCGAAATCCTGGTTGAGGGGACAATTTGCATATTAACCTTTTATTATATAGGACTAGTGGCCTGGTGCATGGATTCATGCACGTTGAAAGGAAATTAGAAGAAATATTTTAATATCGCTATTCGCCCTTTATCTATAATAGAAGTGTCAACCAAATTCATGATGGACAATGACAGATTGAAACACACGCATGCGATTGGCAGCAGCGAGAGCTTTATATGTATCGTGCATGCGCAAGTCAACTTAGCCTTTTATATATACAGAATAAACTTGCTTAATTAGACCTGCTTTCTGATTTAGCTAAACTTTTTCCAGCCCAGTGAAGCACCCCAACATCTCTTTCAGTAATTGTCAGCAACACAGCAGTAAATATCAACACAAAGCAGATTATTATTGTAGATCATGCAGGGAGAACAAAGGGTAAAATATTTAACTGCAGCAGTGTTTGACTGTATTTTGTGCAATGAGAAAACCTGAAGTCATTTTCAAGGTCCACCATTTCTTATTTCTCTTCAGTCGGGTCAAGTTTCTAAGCTTTCTAAATCTCCGTTTTCTGGCTAATGAAAAGAAAATAGGATTCCACCGAGTCTCCTATCTACCTACTCCAGGACTTCTGTGAGGATCAAATGAGATGAGGCACGGGAAAACGCTTCACAGACATTTGGTTAAAGTGTAAAATGTTTCCACTTGGCTATAAAGCAAGTTGTATTCCTGGGTTGAAGAAACTGCAAGGAGGCTAGTTGCTAGGGAGAGGAAGCTGGGCTCGGCTGTGGGCCGCATTTTGGGCCATGGGGTCTCGGCAGTTTTGGCTGCGAATTGGTGGGCTGTCGCTCCAAGGTGGTGGCGGGGCCTATGTCCCACTTGGGGGAAGCAGAGTGTTGCTTTGTGGGCACCAGGTCCGCGGTGCCATTTCTTTGTAAATGGCCAGTGCACATCACGGCAGCTCCTGTGTTGAGTATCTGCCCCCTGGTGGTCAGTGCACGTCATAGCGACCAATCGGATGGTCAGACACTTAGCATATTAGCCTTTTATTTATATATTTATGTATATATATATATATATATATATAGCTAGAGGCCCAGTGTACGAATTCGTGCACTGGTGGGGTCCAGCCAGCCAGGGGGAGGAGACGTGGGAGGTTGGCCGGCCGGCCCCTTGGGGTTGGGGGTGGGCGATCGGGGGTGGGGCTGGCCAGGGTGAGGGACCGCAGGTGGTTGGCCAGCCAGCCACACCCCCTGGTAGAACTCCAGGTTGAGGGAGACAGTTTGCATATTAGCCTTTTATTATACAGGATGGTCAAAAATATAACTAAACGTGCTAATACCAAAACATATAACCCGAAAAACTTAAAAAAAAAGGTTCCAATCCTCATTTTGGTTTACCTTGCACCATGAGCATGGGCTCCCTGCCCCCACCATGGGCCAGCATCTCCCTTCGGTACCGCTCCCCTGTCGACCTGGGGAGATAAGAGACTGTTACCCTCACGCACAGCTTACTCCACCCCATTCACAGGTGTCTTGAGTTTCTCAAAAGAAGCCACACTGATATCATATTCAGAAAACCTGTCACCATGCGATAATTCAGCTCTTAATTTTCTTGCTTCTAAAAATTTAATTCCAATTTTTAAAATTATTCTAATGAGTAAAACCATATATTTATTATAAAAGGCTAACTATATTTTTAGCTGCTTTGTAGCAAGCAATCTCTTCATAGAAAGGATTATTTCATATACGTATTACAGAATAAGATTATATCCTCTTCATCATCTTTAGGATTAGTTTACAGTGAGATTTGAAATTATTTATGCCATTTTTTACTTTTATAAAAGAACTTGAGATGGCACCTAACAAAAAGAAAAATAACATTCTGAAATAAAAGTGAAGAAGAAAAAAAGCTGGCAGGAGAGAATTAATTACCCTGGGAGACCTTGGCTGAGGATAATAGCTAAGGGAACAGAAAACTGGCTCGGCAGTGTGTGGGTGGCAAAGGCAAAGGCAAAGGCAAAGGCGAGAACAGCTCGTTTTCATCTGCAGATACTCTTGGTCAGCTGGATTCTATAAGGAATACCGTCTGTAACACTAGGTCAGGAAGAATTTTTATAGACAGAAATTCTCCAAATTAATGGCACCTGGAGACAAGCTATTTAGTGCTATTCGTGTATTTTATAGAAGATGCAATCCTTTTAATGGAAATGACCACACTATGATAACATAAAATAAATAAATTTTGATGGTTTCATTCCATTCTTTCTGTAGCATCTTTATGTATGGGCAATTTTGTAAACATGATTTCTAATCAGAATTTTTGACAGCATTACCGTATCAAAAATATGTCCCTATCAAACACTAATTTGGGTTACATCCTGCAGTGAGAGCTAAGGCAAAGTATGTCCAAAAGCAGGAAATGTGGACAGAAGGCTGGGCCTTCTCAGGGAATAGGGGCAGGTGAAAGGGCCCGATTCCAGCCTCGGGGGCTTGGCATTTCCTCCCAACCACTGTACTCTGCTCCCCTGGCCTGAGTCAAACTCCTGCCACAGGCCTCCAGTTCTCTGCCTGCCTCAGCTCTGTCCTGCCTGGCTTCTTGATAGCAGCTTCCAGCTTGGTAATTTTTCAAAAGTGGGATCAAAAAGGATCTTTGGACAGAGGTTAGAAATTTTCTAGTCCAATGAGTATTTTTACTAGCTTACTTTTACATGTCTATAAAACTATGGCAACTACATGTCCAGGCAAGAATGCATATATAAACAAGGTATAAATACTTGGAAATATATGTATTTAAGAGTATGTGGTTTTCTAGTAAAGTGTAGTTCCTTTAAAGAAGATAATATTTTGTCTATTTTATAGAAATCTCCAGTAAAGAAATGTAATCCCCCCAAACTGATTTATTGTGGTTAATTTTGGCTTTATATCCTTGGAAAATAATAAACTCTGAATAGCAGACCGAATGTCTGCAAGTGCAAAGGACTGAACACAAAATAACATGTGGGTACCATGCTGTAAAACATTTAAAAATTCTATTACATCAGATTCAAAAGATTTGGAACTGAATGTGATTATTAACTGCTGAGAAAAGCCAAACCTATGTCAAATTGTATGAAAAGTTGAGGGGGTGTTCAGGAAGTGGGGAAAGAGAAGGGACTAGGAATTAGCAGACCTAGATTATAATCTTACTCCACCCTGTTAACTACGAAGCCTTGAACAAATAAATCTGTTCTCTCTGAACCTCAGTTTCCTTTTATAAAACCCACTGGCTGAGCCAAAGCTGCTGAGTGTAAAATAGCATGCCACATGAAAACTCTAGGGCCCCTAGAAAGCTAAGATGTCATCCATCTTAAACAGTGTGAGAGCAGTCAAGAGAACAGTCATCCACAATGGCTGCCTGACATTTGGAGATGTACGTATTTATTTGTGTGGTTAGGAGATAAAATGCTTTCAATGACTATCAGACCTGATCATAATTAGTGGTTTGCTTTCAAAGGCAGCTCCTTCTAAGGACTCATGGAACCAGAACTTGACTTCCTGCTGTCAGAAGGAGGCCCAATTAGGGAGCAACAGGAGCTCTCCCGTGCTTCTTCAACCAATAGGAGCCTTGTGATGACCCTCTCAGGCCCTGCTCTCCCTCCTCCCCAGCCCCCATGTCCTTCCTCTGTTGTGGGGAAAGGGGTGGCATACTTGTCCCTAGATGAAATTTCCTGTGGGCTCATTAAAGCTCACCACATCCACTGGCTAATCTGATGAATTATGATCTGGGAGAGGCCAGAAGACTCCACACAGATGTTCCCATAGACTTCTAGACAGAGCTGCAGGCTGTGTTGTCGGAACCACTGACTATCCCATGAGGACAACGATGAGGCAGGGCAGTGGAAAGCCATGTTGGGCAGGTACCCACACTGTCTGAGTGGCAGCAGGTGGAGCAGTCCCCACCCCCCCTTTTTTTTTTTAACTGTCACTGCCTTTAAAGGTGAAGGAAAAGTGCTCCAAAGTCAGGCAGAGGGTCAAGTTTCTAGAATAAACTGTATGCTAAGGTCAATAACCAAAGTTTCCAGTGGTGCTTCTCCCAAAAGAAAATAACAAGTCCTTTGTTAGGCAATAAAGAAATGAGGTGTTCCTCATGAGGGAAACTTCAGATGCTTGGCTGAAAATAAGGACACTTGTCAAACAGGAAGTACTGGGTGCAACAAGGTACTGAAAACAGGCGAGGCTGGAAAACTAAGAAAACCTACAGGAAAGGATGAAGACAAAGCAATCTGGGCCCATTCTGTGCAAAGGCACAGAGCCCTCACATAACGGGTCCCCGCGGGCATGAGGGCAGAGCGCCAGGCTATCAGCAGCGGGTAAGATAAGAAAGTTCGGGACCCGGCTCTGTCTCTGAAAGGGTCTGAGAGAGGTTTGGACTGAGTGATGACACTGCCTCAGAAAGCTTCGTACTGTGTCCTGAGTGGCCGAGGATTCTCAGAGCCTGACTTTGGATGTAGTGAGGTGGGGGGATTACAGAAGTTGAGGGGAACATTTTATGCCCTACTCCCCTTATTACCTGTTAAAAGGATCCTGTAGGAAACATTCCTTCCAAACCATGGAAGCTACTGCCCTGGACATCAGGTAAGAGTAATACTTGGCACCATAGCCCACGAGGTGACTGAATCGCAGCTGCCAGGCCTGCCAAAACAGAAACACAGCACCAGGAACAATGAAGTCTCTCTATTTGCAAATGTTATGTATGAGAACACAATGAGAGCACATATGAAAATCTGCAAATGTTTTCATTTAAATTTCACCCTAGAGGGCCATGTCACTCACAATATTAATTTTTTTTCACATTTTATACAGTTTTGAGTTGGACTGTGTCTCCTCAAAATTCTTATGTTGAAGCCCTAACCCAGTGGTTCTCAGCCTTCTGGCCCTTTAAATACAGTTCCTCATGTTGTGACCCAACCATTAAATTATTTTCGTTGCTACTTCATAACTGTAATGTTGGTACTGTTATGAATCGTAATGTAAATATCTGATATGCAGGATGGTCTTAGGCGACCCCTGTGAAAGGGTCATTCGATCACCAAAGGGGTCACAACCTACAGGTTGAGAACCGCTGCCTAACCCCAGAACCTAAGAATGTGACTATATTTGGGGAAGGGGACTTTAAAGTGCTGATTAAGTTAAAAGGAAACTGTTAGGGTGGGGCCTAATCCAATAGGACTGTTGTCAGAAGGGGAGAGATACCAGGGAAGGGTGCACACAGAGGAAAGACTACATGAGGACACAGGAAGGCGGATGCGGTCTGCAAGCCAAGGAGAGAGGCCTTGAGGAAACCAAACCTGACATCTAATTGTTTTGCATGTTTGTCACTGCTGGGATTCATCTCCGTGACAGAAATGTAGAGAGAACAGCCCCAATGCGGTGGCAGAAGTGGTGATAATGGAGCAGGGCTGGACTTTGACACTGACTCCAGCCTGTCTGGAATGCCTGGTCGTCAGCAGCGAAGAGGAAACTTCAGGTCTGGCACTGAGTGCATTCATTCTTTTTGAGGACAATGATGTAGTTATTAAAGAAAGGCCATGTGAGTTTTCATGCAAGAATACTCTTCTCTGGAAAATTATTTTCCTATGAATACTGCTCTTTCTCTGTACCTAAAAGCTGAAAATACCTACATTCTGATTGGTTAGGAGAAGGGTTATCCAAGTGCAAATGCATAAACTACCATAGCATATGCATTCATGGTAACACTATTACAACAAAAGCTAGATTTACAAACACTATCCTAAAATACATGTTTATGACTTTAAAATTTTTACTTTTTTGAAACAAACCTGACATGCAATAACCCACTTGTATTCCAATGAATGCTTTATCTGACATTCAAACTTTAAAAAAATAAATTGAAGCCTAAGTTTTTTTAAACCAAAATAATCATTACATAATAAATCTTTTAACTCCCTAGAAAATAAAGTATAATTCTCACCACAAATCTATAAACTAGAAAAGAAAATGCTAACTAAATTATTAAGGAGCAAATATTTACCAAACATAGATGGTTCCTTGATCACAGTGGTGTGGCAAATTTTAGAATATACTCTGAGTCCTACACCCATTTTAATGATGAAGTCATAGTGCTGATTTTCTCTAAGTGTGTCCCATACTTTTAGACAAGTATTTGCCTGGACTGGGCAAAGGGGCTGTTATAAAGGAAGGCATGCCGGAACAGTCAGACTAATGTAGAACATGAGGGTACCAGGGAAGAGATAAATATCCTCATATACACTACCCCCTTTTAAAAAAGAATATGATTAGAAGTAAGGTGGGCACCTTGCCAGTTGTGTCCTTGAAGGAAAGAGATGTGCCTCCTCCTCCTTGTCCTGCATCACATGGGGCCATCTGTGGAGGTGAGACCTTAGCAATGGGGGAGCTGAAAGTAGGAGTGTGGTCTCTGACTCCCTGTGGCCACAGTGCTGGGAGGTGTGCTCACATGGCAGCTATTCTGGGTCTGTTACAGTAACCAGACCAGGATCCTTTCTAATTCGCCTCAGGCACAGGTGCCACCACCATGCAGCACCATGAAAATATGAAGATTGGTGGGGCAGAAGCCCTTGAGGTTCAACAGTGGCCTTGCCCGGGGCTCAGAGAATGTGACTGCACATTCTCTTGCCAACAAGTACCCTCAGGGGGCAGTGGAGAGCATGGGAAGATAGAGACAGGCTTTACACCCTGTTTGCATGCAAGTGGTAATTAAATTGAAGGCAAATAGCCAACGACCATCTATGGATCAGATTCTATTATAACAAACTTTGAATGACTAAATTTTTAGTCCAAGGGTAGGGTCTCTTGGAATTCATTTATCATCTATACACAGTTCTGTGTACTCTGTATTATTTAAAAAAGGGATCTATGTCCGTTTTTGTGTTATGCTGGAATCTTAATGTACCACTGGTGATCTTTTCCATATAAAGCCATAGGCATGTGATTGTATCTTCTGTAATGGAATATGACTGGCTGCTTTAACACGATACTCCACCAATACTGGGTCTCATGCTCTTAATGATATAAGTCTCTCTTAGGGTGAAAGCCCCAAGGCTGGTAGCACAGTTAAGGGGCTCTGTCTTTGAAACTTTCCTTCTTGGTGATCTGCCAGAACAAGTTTGGCAGCCTTTGCTGTAGTGAGCTGAGTTTAATTTTGTTTAGATTTGAGCTGAGTGCAGTTTGTTTTCTCTTGAAAGCAGGCCTACTTCAATAATGGTATTTAATTTGAGCTAAGAAATTTCTAAGTTCCTTAGTTTCATCAACTTGTAACTGAGCTCCCACATAAACAGAGCAATAAAAATAAGACCTTTCAGAAGTGTAGAAAGAGACATCAGGATTTGTGCAATGCACAGTGTCCTGAAGTGCCACAGCGTCTGTCTTACACTAATGTCCCCACTTGGATACAGATATTTTAACAAAGTGCACACCTTACTGTATCTTGTTCTTTAATTATAGGTTTGATTCCCATAATACTTCAAGACATGCCGAATAAATTATACCTTTCATCAGTGGTTTGTAAGTTTATGACAGACTACGACCTACAATTTCACTGCTATTTGACCACAAATGGCTAAATTCCTGCTAATTCAACCTAATATTAAGTTCTTGTTGCCATTTCACTCATTCATCAGGAAAAATTAAAGACAGAATTTCATTTTAAACTCTGGAATTATGTAATATAATTTCATCTTATATCTTCTTCCTTTTAAATTGAAGTTTTCTTCTTCCTAAAGGGCATTTATCAGGTGGACAAAAGGTTTCACTCCTCCTTCAATGTGCAATGTGTGGATGTGATCTCAAAAACAAAGAATTCAAGCACTTTTGCAGTTTCTCTTTTATTCTGTCTAGAGATGTAGATTTCCCAATCCTAACACTATTCCAAGACACAACTATTAAAAACTTCCCTTGAGTTAGATAATCTCCGTGACTCCATATAAAAGACAAAAACATGGAGCAGGAGAAACAACATGGTAGGAACTCCAAGGATAAGGTAACTCGTTTTAGAACTCAGACAGGTGAGGCCCTTGGACGATTCATATTTGCTACAGCCCTTTTCCATTCACATAATTTTCCCCCAGCCAAATCGCGGACAGAGCCAGGAATGGAAAGGTAGCAAAGTGGATGGTTACTTGCCAGAGTTGTCCCCCATATCTGTGGGTGATATGTTCCCAGTGGGTTCCTACTAGTAAAACTGAGAATAGTACCAAACCCTATATCTACTAGGTTTTTTTCCTATATACTAGTAAACATACCTATGATAAAGTTTAATTTATAAAATAGGCATAGAAACAGATTCACAACAAAAACTAATAATAAAATAGAACAATTACAATAATATAATCAAAGTTATGTGAATGGTGAATTATTAAATAAGATAGGGTTACTTGAACACAAGCATAGCTCAACAGTCAATCTTATAAGCAAGATGGCTGCTAAGTGATTAACGGGCTGGTAGTGGACACATTGGACGAAGGGATGATTCATGTCCTGGGCAGGACATGGTAGAATGGCAAGAGATTTCATCACGCTACTCAGAACAGTGCACAATTTAAAACTTATGAATTGTTTATTTCTAGAATTTTCCATTTAATATTTTGGAATGCAGTTGGCCACAGGTAACTGAAACTGCAGAAAGTGAAACCATGAATAAGGGTGGACTGCTGTATCTATTTCAGTTTTGAACCTAGAAGAGGGACTAGTACAGAGTAAGCACTCATAACTACATGTTAAATGCTGAATGACTCAATAACCATTTCTTTTATACTCCCAATAGCACATCCTTTCTTCATTTCTAGCTACATGTATATAAATACATTTAGCTAAAATTTATTTTAGAACAATTTTATCAGCGGGACATTATAAACTGCATGAGAACATAAATGACACACATTGCTTCCTTGGTGTTTGTCATACTGAACTGAAAGTTCCTTAAGAGCAAGGACCACGATGCTCTGTGCATGTCTATACTCTGCACGGTACCTGGAACACAACAGAATTCAATAGTTGTCTGCTGAATGGATGGATGGACAGAATGATAGCTTGCTGGAATGATGAATGTATGAACACTACAGGATTTTTTCAAAGAGATGCTCAATGTTTCTGAAAGACAGACTTTTGAGTGAGATAAGCTCAGGAATAATATCCATATCACAAATAGGAGACTATTACTGAATCTCAGGGTGACTATTAATAGTTTTCTGAAAAGAATTCTTTGACTACATTAATTGACAGGTGATATAGGATTGGAGGCTAATTCTGGCACCAGATCTCCAGGTCTGGACTATGTACAGGATCTATGTAGTGCTTCATAGTGTGTGATTTCAATCTCCTTCAAGCTTCATGGGCTAGCAGTACTGTACAAGCTTATAAAGGCCTTTTGTTCAATATGTACCTGTTATAATTAGAATAACTTAATGATAGGAAAAAAAAAGCAAATTCCTAAGGTAGGACGGACCATTTTGACTTTTCACATTCTCCATGTACAATACAGCTGATTGTGGAGTATCTCTTATGATTTCAAATCTATGGCATCTAAAAGTGTTTAACAATGAACCACAATGGACAGGAGAAGCAGATACTCTCCTATCTGCCTTCTGTTCATATTCTCTCTCTTAATATATTTATATAGGATGTCCCCCCAAAAT